GTCCTGGGATCGAGCCCCTCATCGGGCTCCCTGCCCCGCGGGGAGTCTGCTTCTCCCTCTGACCCTCCTCCCTCTCGTGCTCTCTGTCTCTCATTCTCTCTCTCACAAAAAAAAAAAAAAAAAAAAACTAAAAAAAAAAAAAAAAAAGACAAATACCCTAATATACTAAAAATAGAGAAGCACATTTATTTAAAACATTTTCACAAAATTAAATAGACATGGTTCTTTACCTTCCTTTCAAACCAAATTCTTATTTTCACTTGAAAGTCATTTGCTCTATGTGTCACAATTTCCCCATAGCATAGTTAGAAAGCTTAATTTTTTTCAGCCCAAAGCACAGCATTAGGGGTACTACCGTAAGCACAGTAGAGACAAAACGTATTTACAATCAATCCAACAGGGATCACCATTAAATGAAATTCAAGTGCTAGAAAGCATTACTAAATTTTTCCCCCTAAAATAAAGTTTTAGTTAGGAATTCTTATGTTAGCAAAAATATGCATAAACTCAAAATGTTAATGTATTAAATCCTAACATTTAATTAAAATGTTATTTTATATACTAAAGCCTTATATAGCAATGAAAAAGATTTAAAGTACTATAGCATTTCTAATAAATTTCCTTACTAATCCTTCTCTTAAAGGGATTTTCTTCATTATATAATTCTGAAAGCAACAGAGTATCAAAAGAGGGAGTTGCTAATGACACACTAATCCCCAGGACAGAACAACTCAATGACTTTTCCCTTTCTTTTTTTTTTTTTTCTCCAAAGATTTTATTTATTTATTCATGACAGACAGAGAGAGAGAGAGAGAGGCAGAGGGAGAAGCAGGCTCCCGAGGAGCAGGGAGCCCGATGCGGGACTCGACCCCAGGACCCCGAGATCATGACCTGAGCCGAAGGCAGACGCCCAACCATCTGAGCCACCCAGGTGCCCCAATGACTTTTCCCTTTCTAAAAGCTGGTAACCTGGATAATCTCAACTTTAAGGAAAGCAGGTTTGCACATCTCAAGCATGCCAACTGTAATGAGAAAACTCCCAGCAACTGAGTCTTGGATCTCAGTAAAGTTAGGTAAATTTATAAAAAGTAATAACCAAAAGCTAGAAGACGGGAATCCTCTTAGTCACCAAAGAGGGAGGAAAAGGAAAGGTGGTTAGAAAGGATTAGCAACCCCCAACTCCTCACCTTTTTGACTTTTGCAGTTCTATATTCACAACTTGGGATATTCTTATCCAGCAACAGTGATAGCAATACACACTTTACATGCCAAATTGTTAACTGTATTAAGTCTTTCAAGATACACCAACACCTGTGATGTCACAGTACCCCAAAATAGCTTGAACAGTAACCTATCCATGACTTTATATTGATAGTGTGACTTACAGATAGCATATCGTTTTCACATTCTTAATCTGTTAATCTCTGCCTTTTAATTGGAGCATTAGTTCACTTATATTTACTGTAATTATTAACACAGGTGAATTTAGGTCTATCATTTCCCATTTATTTTCTCTTTGTTCCATCTGTATTTTGTTTCTTGTTTCTCCTTTCCTACCTTCTTTTGGGTTAATTAAATATTTTTTACTATTTTATTTTAATGCCCCTACTTGATTTCTTTTCTCTCGTAACCTTGACACTTAAGAAAAAAAATCATCCTTATTGAGGTATAACTGATAAAAGTATAAGATATTTAACATGCACATCATAGTGAATTGATATACATTGTCAAAGGGTTCCCCTTATCTAGTTAATTAGATGCCTTAACATTTTTGAAGACCTCTGATCAGTTATTTTGTAGAATGTCCCTTAATTTGAGTTTATCTGATATTTTCTCATAATTGGATTGATGTTACACATTTTTTGGTCAGGGTAAAGTACAGGACTAACTCATTTAGTTTAACCTTTTTAAAACTGGTTATTGCTTGGATAAATTATAAAGCGAGTCAAACACTAATCTGGCACTATGTTCCAAGTATTTTCAAAATTACTTATTTGAAGGGCTGATTTTATTTGTAGAATTCATCCCTAGTGAAACTCTAGACTTCCATTTGTTAGGCTGCAAGAAGGAGGGGTGGGAAGAGAATCAATTTTTATTTTCACTCTAAGAGAAAACAAAATTTATTTATTTATTTAAAATTTTTTTATTTATTTCTTGACAGAGAGAGAGAGACAGCGAGAGAGGGAACACAAGCAGGGGGAGTGGGAGAGGGAGAAGCAGGTTTCCTGCCGAGCAGGGAGCCCGATGTGGGGCAAGATCCAGGACCCTGGGATCATGACCTGAGCCGAAGGCAGATGCTTAATGACTGAGCCACCCAGGCGCCCAGTGATGATGCTTTTATGGGTTATATTTGTATGCTAAAAGTTATGCAAAACTTTCATCAATCTATTTCAATGCTTACTTTGAGATTATTAGGAAAATTAACAAGGAGAAAATATCAAAAAAGCCAATTTATTTGTGGCATCAGCTACCCTAACCAAAACACAGGTAAGGTCAGAAAGAAAAGAAATTATTTTAATGTCCTTCAAGGCAAGAAGTCTGTTTAGTTTCTTAGAAATTCCAGAGAAAAAAAAATTCCACAGAACACTTAAGAGTCCTAGATACAGTATTTTAAAATGTTTTTAATTATTAAATGGGATTTTTCCAGAAAGCCTTATTTGAAAAACTCCATGGCACTGTGATCTCCAACTCTGTATTCCAAGTCTGTTTGTAGAGTATCTAATTCTGTATTCACTGCTTACTGTGTTATCTTATACTTACTCTTTGTAACTACTCTCATCTTTGGCTTTGTCTTGCCCAAAACTTCTTGAGGTATCTTTCACAAAAGTGCCTAGCACAGTACTATCTGCACATGGAAACATTTAAAACCTCCTGACAATATGAAGAGTCAGGCTTTCTCATATGTACATGAGAAAATTTAGGTGGAAAAGATATTTTTTACCCTAATTAATTAATGAAATACGAAATTTCAGAAGCTTAGAGGTAAGAAGCAAAACAAAAGATTATAATATGTTTTTATCTTTGTAGATGTGGTAAATTTGATTTTTCTAACAATGGTGGCTTTCTGGACAGCAGATGTTCTTTCCTCAAGACCAGTGATAATTTTCAAATGTACTACAAAATTTCCCATAATCTTCAAAGTCAAATATCACATCTTAACACAGAAATGTATGTTTTACATAAAACTGAATAACAACTAAAATGGCTGTAAATTTATGACAGTATATATACTAAATTGAATTTAAAATCTTTGTTAATAAAATATGCTGAAGCTTTACTTATATGCTACAGTGTATTTTAAAAAACCAATTTTCTTCTAATGAACCTTAAAAAATCATGATTTTGAAAGATTACAATGCAAAAATGTTATAACAGTTTAAAAATTTTCTGACCAAAGTATATCCTTAAAGCTAGCAAAAAATATTACTATAATACCCTAAATTGATACTCTAGAATCAACACACACACTCAAAGACATACTAAAAATCTACTCACACAAATATACTACATTCTTTATCAGACTTATTTAAATGACTGGCTCATTAAAATTAGGGCACTGTGAAGAAAACTGAAGTATCCTGCTATATTCAGCATTTTGGTAGGCAGTAGAAATAAAAAAGACAAAAAAATTGTAATTTTTATTGTAATAAAAACAAAATTCCAAATAGATGTGATCTAGAGATGAAACAGAGCTGATGACTAACTTCTATAAGATGAATTAGCAAGAGGAAAAAGAATGTTTTGAATACAGTACAAGAAAGGGGAATAATCTACTTATATTTTTATTTTTTATACTCACCCTTTTTCTCCTCCAAGCTTTTGGATTTTCTTCCCCCTACACTAAGAGTAAGGAATTTGGGTGGCTAAACTGGGTTTGTTAAGGTGAACTGCCATTTCTGAGGGAGGACTGAAGGAGACTTAATAGAAAGAAATCTAGAATTCAGCCTTCTCTGATAGCAATCTTATTTTGGTAGTGGTGATGAGCCACAACTTTCCTCAGTTATGTAGATTTTAATTAACTAGACACAAAAGATATGTTAATTTGGTATAAACTAAACTATATAGTTTCCTTGCTTGTGACGTGTGTGCGCGCGCATGCGTGTGTGTCTTCAGAGGGAAAGGGTAGGTGAAATAAAAGACTTAGGATGTTTGTTACTAACAATAAGAAAAAAAATAATCCAAGCCAATTTAAAGCTTATTGTTTTGCCATTAATTAAGTCATGTGAACAATTACTTATAACCACATAATTTTCCCAAGCTGCATTCTGTGAATTACTTGATCAATACTGAGTTTTTCTGCTTTAGAGATGTTTTATGAGAAAGGGAAAAAAAATCACTTAATTCATATTTTAATTCACTAGTTTCAATAGGGCTTGCCAAGAAACCTCCAAAATAAAGGCAAGCATAGATGAAGAAACACTTTTTAGAAAAAAATATTTAGAGAAATCTACAAATTCTAATCTACCTATATTATTATACTCACCAGAATAGCTGATCCCACTGCCTGCAGTAAATGGAACAATAGAAGTATTTTTAACTTGACCACACATTTTGAATTTTACTCAAGATCAGACATATAATGAAACATGGCAATCTTTGCTATTATATAAATATTTTAAGCTATTGCAAACAAATCCAAATGCTGAGTAAGGGAATATAAAGAGAAGACTGTTTCAAAGTAAAAGTTGATGTGGTTATTAGTATGGAGACAACCTAAAGATACGTATACAAAGGAAATTAAGGTGTTTTTTTTCTTAAATTTCAGGAAAAGAACCAACATTAAAATATTAACAAAACTGCCTGTTTGATGTAATGACATATTTTTGTAGATTCAATTTTGGTTGGTAATTATAAACTACTGAAAAGGACTAATTCATGGAACACATACAATTTGTACAATAGTAAGTCATGTTAGTGTCATGTCAGTGAACACACATATTAAGTAAAATAAAAATTGAGACAGTTCAGGAATTCATAGCAGTATTAAATTCTAAAATAATCATCAAATGTTTAAATCAGAAATTTTATAAATTCTAACACTCATGAATTACTAGGCAAAATTAAGAACTACTCTAAACTTTGTTAAGAACTTACTTGGTTTACAACATATTAAATGTATTAATTGGTCTTACCATCTTTTCCATCTATGGATTTTGACACTTCAATATCAAAATTTTCCTGCATCTGCTGACCTCTAAAACAGCTGAGATGTTCTTGCTCAATTAAATTACTTTCTTCTTCTTCTAAAGGCTGCCAAGTACCATCAATAAACCACTGTCCACGCATTACTAGTATTTTATCTGCCTCTGAAAAGAGAAAACACAGAATTATACATTTTAGGATCCAACCTCCAGAAAGAGACACAATAACTATAATTTTAATACTCTGTTACTATAACTGTGGCAAAAACTTCCATGACCCAGCAGAATCATTTAAAGTTTTAAATTTCAGATTTCAAGCCATGGCACATATTTTTTACAGTATATCATTTTATTTATATTGGATATTATGCAAAAATTTACTTTGGTATTCGAAAGGTAGATGAGCAGTTATCTTTATAACTGAGGCCCTGAGTAACCCAAATTAGTAGGTGATGGGGTTAAGACAAGTTCATGCAAGACTCTGGTGATAGTTCCAATGTCTTAGAAAATACTGATACACACTCCGAGAAGTAGTTCAGAAATAGTGCGTGTGGTAGTAGTGTGTTACACTTTTTAGGGTTGCCTTGAAGGGTATAGACTCCCAGTTAGAATACAGGAATAGCTGATACATTCAATTATAGTAAATTCCTTACCCATTTTAGAAAAAAACTGAGTAGAAAATTTTGAATAACTATAAACATTCCTTTGATTAAATACTGTTCCTATAAGCCTAATACTTTCCTTCCTTCCACTCCTCCCCCCCTTCCTTTCTTCCTTTCCCTCCAGGCCCAGTGTGGAGCCCAATGCAGGGCTTGAACTCAGGACCCCAAGATCAAGACCTGAGCTGAGATCAAGAGTTGGACACTTAACTGACTAAGCCACCAAGGCGCCCCTATTTATATTTTGAAAAATAAACTACAACTGTCAGTTATGTTATTTTGAATACTTTAAGATTTATAAAAAATAAAGCAAAAATAAAATGGAAATAACAAACCCTAAAAATAAAAAGCAAAATAAAACAAATGAACTTAGGGGTGCCTGGGTAGCTCAGTCTTTAAGTGTCTGCCTTCGGCTCAGGTCATGATCCCAGGGTCCTGGGATAGATCCCCGCATTGGGCTCCCTGCCCTGCGGGAAGCCTGCTTCTCCCTCTCCCACTCCCCCTGCTTGTGTTCCCTCTCTCGCTGTGTCTCTGTCAAATATATAAATAAATCTTAAAAAAAAAAAAAACCAACAAAACAAATGAACTTAATTATGTAGAGATTTGGTGGTTTAACCATATACAGGAAAAATTATTTCAAGTTGGCTTAAAACACAGTAGTTTATACACACACACACACACACACACACACACACACACACACATTAGGATACATCCTGTGAACAAAAAGAACTGCAAATACATCTTAAGCCTGAATTTTGTTTCCTTGAGCTTTTAAAAATGCTGCTCTATGGTAGCTTTCCTTGGTATATTATTCTTGAGAAGTCTGATGTAAATCTAATTTTTTTTTTTTTTTTTTTTAAGTAAAGTGATCTGCTCATTCCTTACCCCAGGGGACAGAAAAAAAAAATTGCCTTTAAAGTCTAATACTTTCTGACTCAGAGTTCATTGTTCTGGATCAATCTGTCCAGGTGGGCCCTTTTAATATCTAGATTTCAGCTTTTCTCTTGTTTCTGAATAGTTCCCTTGGATTATGGTTTAGTAGTTAGTTCTGTTCCACTGATTTCTCCCCCTCAGGGACTCTAATTGTAGATATGTTGGGTCTTCCTTTGCCTATATTGCATTTCACACACTTTTTTTCTCAAGCTTTTTACTTCTTCCTGCATCTTTTCCATTATTTCATTTGTTTTCCTTCCTTTTGTAATGCCTCTTACATCAATGCCCTTATTAGTATGTCCACAAGAGAATTTTTTTATTCAGTTGGAGTATTTAATAGTTTCCTGAAACTTCTGGGTACGATGGTGGAGTAGAAGGACCCTAAGCTCACCTCATCCCACAAATGCAACTAGGTAACATCCACATCAGTGTAAATAACCCAGAAAACAACCTGAAGACTCTCCACAACTAAATGTAGAGATGAGGTCACATCAAAGAGGGTAGGAAGGGTGGAGACGTGGCTAGGAACCAAACTGACTAGGAGACTGTTTGCAGGAGGAAGTGATGCTGCAGGCACAGAGAGAGGAGCAGACACCTCACCAGGCATGGGGGACCTGCACTGGGAAAGGAATCCTCATAACATATGGCTTTGAAAACCAGAGGGTCTTAACATCTCGAGTTCTTATCATCAGTGGGGATTAAAAACTGGAACTTTAAAAAAATCAGTGGGCTTGGCTCTGGGAGAGCCAGAGAGTGATAGAAAGTGAGTCCCTGGGGCGCCTGGGTGGTTCAGTCGTTAAGCGTCTGCCTTCGGCTCAGGTCATGATCCCAGGGTCCTGGGATCGAGCCCCTCATCGGGCTCCCTGCTCAGCGGGGAGCCTGCTTCTCCCTCTCCCACTCCCCCTGCTTGTGTTCCCTCTCTAGCTGTGTCTCTCTCTGTCAAATAAATGAGTAAAATTTTTTAAAAAAAGAAAGTGAGTCCCTGACCGAAAAGAGACAGTGTAAGAAAGAGCCCCACTGAGATATAGATTAGAAAGAGCAGTCTGAAAAACACCTGGGGAAGATTCATTTATGAATCTCAGAATGTATGCTGGAGAGACAGGGATTTTTAGGAGACTTCTCCAAGAACAAAAGAGCTGGAAGGTGCCATTTCCCTCCCCCCACCCCCAGCAGAGATACACAGACACCTGGGAGAACCACTGGGAACTCTCTCCACCTACCTTGTTAACAGAGCTCTTTCCTGTGGACCTGCCTCCTCCAACAAGCCCTCAGCAGGAGTCCACCCAAAGCAGTGCAACAAGCGTGGCAGTGTGCAAGTAGCCCCAAAAGAGGCCAGCACTGCTCCAAAGTGACTCCTGCCTTGGGGAGAGGGGAAGGCAATCACATACACCAGTCTGACTGCAGCCCCAGCAGTAGGCAGAGGCCAGACATGTGGTCTGACTGCAGGTCCCACCTACCAACAAAAGCTTCTCTCAGTGGACAACAAAGAGAAAGCACCCTGCAGTTCAGTGATATTGTATCTCTGACAAACACCTGCTCTGACTCCACTTAAGCCCAAGGCAGCCCCAGACTGGCCCATTAATGACACAAGGACCATGGCCTGCAACAGGCAAGAGGAGTCACTGCAGACGACTGGACTGAAGGCAATGTGGCTCACCACAATAGTAGGGTACACGCAACACACATAGGAGACACCTGGAGTGCCAAGTTCTGGTGAACAGGGGGGACACTGCACTGCTGGGCACTATAGGAATCTTCATCTTAAGGCCACTGCCGTCAGGAGCAGGGGATGTAGCCGATTTACCTAACACATAGAAACAGAGAGTTAGGCAAAATGAGGAAACAGGAATATGTCCCAAATAAAGAAGAGGACAAAACAGAACAAGAGAGCTAAATGAAATGGAGATAAGTAATATGCCTGCTAGAGAATTTAATGTAATGGTCATAAAGATATTCACTGGACTTCAGAAAAGAGTGGAGGACCTCAGTGAGAACATCAACAAAGAGAAAACATTTAAAAAAGAATCAATCAGAGATGAACTCAATAACCGAAATAAAAAATACACTAAAGGGAATAAACAGTACTCTAAAGGAAAGAACAATGGATTGGCAACCTGGAGGACAGAGTAATGAAAAACAATCAAACTCAACAGAAGAAAAAATGAGAATAGATTAAGGACACTCAGTAACACCATCAAGTGTAGAATCATTCAAATTACAAGGATCCCAAAAGAATAAGATGGAGAAAAGGGGGCAGAGAATGTATTTGAAGAAATAATAGTGGAAAACTTCCTGAATCTGGGGAAGGAAAGAGAAACCCAGATCCAGGAAGTACAGAGGACCCCCAACAAAATCAACCCGAGGAGGTCCACACCAAGACACACAGTAATTAAAATGGCAAGTATTGTGATAAAGAGAGAATTTTAAAAGCAGTAAGAGAAACAAACACAAGGGAAACTCCATAAGGCTATGAGCTGATTTTTTTTAGAAAAAAAAATTTCAGGCAAGAAGGGAGTAGCATGATATATTCAAAGTGCTGAAAGAAAAAACCCTGCAACCAAACATACTCTATCCAGCAAGGCTATCATTCAGAAGGAGAGACAGACTGTTCCAGATAAACAAGAATTAAAGGACTTCATCATCACTAAACCAGCTAAGCTCACAAGAAATGTTAAAGGGGACTCTTTGGAAAGGAAAGACCATAAGCAGGAGTAAGAACAGTAGGAAGCATAAAAGCAGTAATATTAAGTATATCTATAAAAATCAGTCAAGGGATTCACAAAATAAAAGGATGTAAAGTATGACATCATATACTTAAAATGTGGAAGTGGGTGAGGAGTAAAAATTTAGTGCTTTTAGAATGGGTTCAAATTTAAGAGGCCATCAGCTTAATATAGACTGCTATATGCATAAGATGTTAGAGATAAACCTAATGCTAACCACAAATAAAAAACCAATAATAGATATGCAAAATAGAAGAGAAAGGAATCCAAATATATCACCAAAGAAAGCCAGCAAACTGTGAGAGAAGAGAGCAAGAGAAGGAACAGAGAAAAACTATAAAAATAACCATAAAACCAGTAACAAAATGGCAATACGTACATACCTATCAACAATTACTTCGAAAGTAAATAGACTAAATGAATGCTCTGATAAAGATACAGAATGATGGAATAGATAAAAAAGCAAGACCCATCTATATGCTGCCTACAAGACACTGATTTCAGATATAAAGACACATGTATATTGAAACTGACCTGATGGAAAAGCATTTATCATGCAAACAGAAGTGAAAGGAAAGCTGGGTAGCAATACTTATAATCACACAAAATAGACTTTAAAGCAAAGACTGTAACAAGAGTCTAAGAAGGACATCACATGATTACAAAAGGAACAATCCAAAAAGAAGATGTAACAATTGTAAATATTTATGCACCCAGCATGGGAGCACCTAACTAGATAAAGTAGCTAATAACAAACATAATGGAAGTAATTGATAGTAATACAGTAGTAGTAGGAGACGTTAACACCCCACTTACATCAATGGATAGATCATCCAAACAG